GCGTCCATGTCAAGCTCTTCATCACAGTTGTCAATTTTCACCTGGGAAAAAGATGATCAACCTTTCGATTTTTTCGGGGTACCCGATGTTCCAACAAACACCAACTCAGTTTGATTGAAACTGATTTATTTGACATCAAATTACCAGAAAAATATGGGAAAAATATGCCCCATTTCAATACATTGCAGGACAAACCCAATCTGGTATCAACTGTTTCCTTAGATACTTGTTGTATATATATATATACATTCCCATTCGATTGAGTGGAGAAACCTGACTCCACACATCTCCGCACCATGCCCAAGCAACACGATATTTGCACGTCTTCTCAGAGAAAGCGATCGTGCGGCCACACCTGTTGATGTAATCCTTGCCCAAGGCATTCCTCGTTGTGTGATCTACTTGGGGTACTTGTCAGCAAAAGCGGCAGAAGCTAGTGTTGCAAGTTGTGGCAACTTTTTGAGGCTGGGTATAGTTTCGTCAAGGATCTTGAACTTCCAAAATGGACGTGTATGACACGAAGACTCAGTATCTTGTGACTCATAACATTGTGCTTCAGAGATTCTCAACAAGATAGAAAAAATATTTAAAAAATGATTTCCTGTTTTCGTGGTTTCATTTCCTTTTTTTTGGGGGGAATCACGAAACATCAGCGAAGCATCTGCTTCAACAGGCCAAAGCGAGACCCTGCTCGGCACTTGAAGGCGTAGTCCGTGCACTTCACTTTAACTCTTGGCCGCTTCAAGGGCACCTGACCACAACTTGAATTAGAAATGTGAAAAAAAAAGGGGGAACAAAGATGGACAAAATGCATAGACCAATTGTTTATTTCCATTGTTCAACATGATGTTTATTCGAGTCCATGTTAGGATAAAAATTGGTTTCAAAAATCAATCTCAAGATGATAAAGATACATTTAAAAAACATATGTTCAGAAGCAATGATTTGAAAGTATATATATATTCCGCCCTTTCAATGAAGGATCCCAATGATGATTGGTCAGTTTTACGGGTTTAAACCAACCTGTGGTCATATCATTTGGAACCGTTCCCAAACAGATCCTAACAGTTTGGATTCCGCATCCCTGTAAGCTCCCGCCACTACAAGGCGCCTTCGTAGCATCCACAACCAGGGCGATTCTGGGACCACCTCGACGCTTCCCGGTGAGAGCCACCATCTCCTTGACGATGGCACTCGCACAGGCCACCTGGTCAGTGACTAACAGTTTGCTATGGAAGCTATGGAATTCAACATGGTGATTTTCCATAGCTGTGTTAAATTACCAGAAGCTAAACGCTGTGGTCATCAATGCCAGAATCCACACACCTTGGGTATATGAAACCCTGAGATATTTTGATGACCATCCGGACCATCCATCAATTTTTTCCTCGTGGCACAAGGAAGCAGTGTCTGCTGCGGCCATGCAAAACTAAATTCAAGGGGGAGATGTCCTACTGTGCAAAATCCGGGCCAATTCCAGCACCGTATTGCGTGATTACCATCGCAAGTGCTTGCTTCCGGAAAATATCATCAATCTCAACCCCTTCCTCCACAGGATATTCCTGAAGAGATGCGAGAAATCCACTCGCCAATCCTGCACACAAGGCCGGTGGATACTCTTTTAAAGCGCTAGTGGCCCATTCGCCTGAATCAGTGAGACCAATACTCACTCCGGTCGGCAAAGTGCCGGTCAACTGCCAGCGGCGGAGCTCCGGGACCATCTTCTTCAGGTTGAGGAGCAAGAGTCTGGTTGGTTTCCTGCTCTTGGCTCCCCAGAGTCCTTGAGAGATATCCAGGGTCTCAAACTCAGGCCATTCCATGAGGAACTGAAGCAGCGGAAGCCGCCAGATACTCGCCCTTGTTTCGTCTGCCGGCGGTGCCGGATGCTCCAACCCACCTACGCCATCCGCCAGCGCCAACTCAATCAGGAGCTCCAGCGTGAATAAAAGCAAGAGGTTGCCCACATCCAGCTGGCGAACTTCTTTCAAAGCCAGGGCCGCACGACCCCAAAGGTCAGCCAGGTCTCGCACGATCCTGGGGCCTCTTTTCGCACGTCCTTTGGGATCCGTAGGCAATTGCTTACCACGGGCCTGGGACCAGGTTTCGCACGGCGGGCCGGCAAGAGCGCCGACCACCTGCCTTTGCTTCACAGCCCTCAGCCAGAAATCCCTGACCTTGGGTTGGGAAACGTCTCCCCATGTAGGGTCCACCATCAGGTCGACGGAAATGGTGTGCACCAGCATCTCCGGGTAGTCCTTCTGGATGAGCTCGATGAAATGTTGGAAATCTCCGGCTCTGCGTCTGCCTGAAAACGCGTGGATAATGAAGCGCTCCTTTGCCATCGGTCTGGGCACGTCCCATAACCTCTGTCGCGTATTGGCTGCTTCGACAGCGTCCAGACATTGCTGCTCCATCTCTGCCAGGGTCATGGTTGAGGCTCGGTGTCTTGGTCTAGACCCAGTCAAGCAAAGAAAAGGCCAGCTCTCCGCCTTTTGCAGTTGCCGCAATCGCTCCACCATGTCATACTCCCCCAGGTTGAGGATCTCCAAGTCCTGCTCCGTGAGGTTCTCGATGAGATAGCACAGGGTGGCCTTACACGAGGCCCACGTGATGACATAGTCCTGGATGGAGTGAAGAATTACAGAGTCAATATCCTCTGCTTCGCCACGTTCCAAAACCTTCTCGTAAATGGTTTCGGCCAGGCATAGGTCATATTCTGGTAGTGGCACTGCCGCTCCTGCTGCAATGCAAGGTCCCTCTGCTTGAAGGGGAGGAAGTATGCCATCATGCACGTTGCACAGCTCACGATCTTCCACAGAGCCTGCGCCCGCCACAGGTGCCATCCGCTGACGTCTCCCCCATAGTTGCTCTCGGCAAGCTGCTGCATGTCGAAGATGTGCATGTAGTTTGCTGTACGTATGATACTCCCGCAGGCAAGCCCCACAGCACGTCGTGTCGAAAAGGAGTCGAAGCCGCGAGATCACGCCATGTTTCTTGAAGAGATGTGCTCCCAAGCCTCCTTTGCTCCTGAAGGTTTGTTGACATCTCATACAGGCGTGCTGTTCCTCAAGTCTTGCTGCCTCCGGAAGCTCCTCATTCGCCTGTGCTTGCCTTGCGAAACTTCCTGGGTGCACTGATTCAAAGACTTGCGTGAACCGATGATGGAATTGAACCACACGATGGTTGCGCCGTCGCTGCAGGATGGCATGTTCTCCACCTCTTCGAACTAGGCGACGCCAGTATGAAGGATGATGGAGCCAGATGTCCTCCCAAACGGCCATATTGATCAGCGGATCTGGCAGCTGTGAGGAACCATGTAGTTGCATCCAAAGCCATCGTAGGTCATCCTTGATAAGTTCAATCCATTGTTGATCACTATTGATCAATCCCCATGGCACTAAATGAGTGCATTTGTGAAGGGTTCCCAAATATCGAAGTCTTGATAGGCGCAAGAGCTCCGTGGGGCTATTGGCGCCAACTTCTGTCAAGATGTCGTCGTCCATGAGGTGGGCATCATGAGCTCGACCCAGGAGACGGCGCAATAGTCTCATCACTGCATTGTGAATGTACTCTTTGGTGCGCCCCTCCGAAAAGGTCCATGTCTCTGTTCCGTAGCTCAAACGACTCCACACTAAAGACTTGAAAAGCTCAAAACGTCTTTGCATGGACAGCACTGGATTCTGCAGCAAATGACGTCTGTGCTGCGTAAACGTCTGATGTGCCATCCCAATACGTCTGCGAGCTTCTCTCCTCTGATCAGATTGATGGTGAATGACACAGCCCAGATGCGTGTATTGAGCTACTGCCCTCACTTTCATGATTCCCTTTTCTCCCATGATCTTCAAAGATCTATCTGAAGTGGGCCCAAAGTATCTGATGCGCATCTGCCTTGAGCCGCGTCCTTGAAATACTAAGAGTGCCTCCGTCTTCCCCGGGCTCAAATTGGGTGAAAGCCCATGAGTTTCACAGAGATCTAGAAGTCTTCCTGTTGCTTGGTGGATCTTGGCCTCAAGTCTCTGTGGTGATGGATCAGAGACGCAGACGCAGGTGTCGTCCATCCACGTCGGCCCTAAGAAGGACCGAGAAGACTCTGATTGCGGGCCCGACAGACTCAAACCTGTGTCTGCAGGGATCTTGTCGTCAATCTGCATGTCAGTGAGCGTAACTTGTAGACGTCTGAGAATGCGTCCCCACAAGTACGAAAAGATGACGTCTGCAAAGCAGTCGCCCGGCCTCGACCCCAACGTCGTCCTGCAAACGTCGCCTTGCCCTTTCACCGTAAAGAACGTGTCCTCGTGCAACGCCGTAATGGCAATCTGCATGTGTTTTGGCAGGTTCGCCTCCGCAATCGCCGCCGGCTCACTCAAATGCTTGTAGAGCTCCTCAAGGAGATCCTCCGTGAACCCCAACTTGCGCCCCACATGCATCACCATTTCATCTGACACCGGGCCACCTGTCACCAGGGGCCGCAAGATGCGATAAAACGCTTCCGTCAGGTCAAGGTACAGCATCGCAACGTTGTGGCCCTGACTGCGTCTCGCTCGTAGGAATGCCCTCCCCAAATGCACACCAAGCGTAACCGGCGCTTTGGGTCGGCCTCCCAGCTGTTCCGTTTGCATGTAGCGCTCGAAGAGGGCCGTCTGCCTTTGTCTGAGGCTTCGATGCAAACTTTTGCCAATGAAGCTGGATACTAATATACTTCGGTATGAAGTACAGCAATCCTTTGGCCCCTTTGACTTCCAAATCGGGAAGAGCATGCCACCTTTGTGGTCTAGTGCCTCCTGCCCATGGAGCGTCAGCTTCCACAGCTGGCTGAAGGTCAACCTCGCCAAAAAGGACGGGTTCATCCGGCAAAAGGCGGGATGCAGTTTGTCTGGCCCTACTGCCTTGTAGGGATTGATCCTCCTATATGCCGCTTCAAGGTCAATGAGTCTTGGAAGTTCTTCGGCCTGGACGTGAAATTCTTGTTGCCGAAAACGTTGAAGATTGGCAATCCAAAGATCGCGTTGTTGTCTGCGGTCCATTCGTGTCCCTCCTTCCATTTGCCTGAAGAATTCCAACCACGCTTCGACTGCCTCATTGGGAAGACAACAAGCTTCTCCATGTGCATTACGTATCTGTGGCAACGGCGAGACCTTGAGCTTTTTGAGATTGGAAGGACCTAAGAGAGGTTTGAGCTCATGCAAAATTGCGCTGGCCGGAGCATTGGGATCCATCTCTGCAAACTTCAGCCTGATCGTTTCTTGTTTGGCTTTGCTCAAATGCTGCCTCAACTGCAGCATTGCTTTGCGGTGTTGCCCAACCAACTTAAAGTTGGCTCTCCAGAGATACTCGCTGTAGGACTGGTACTCTTCCCAAACCTTCTGGTCAGTCCTACGGTGTCTCCAGAGCTTGAAGAAGAAAATCATCCTTTCATCTCGCTGCCGGCGAAATAACTGTTGGATCTGCTTCTTGAACTTCAGCTTGCTCCCAGGTAATTGCCAGCTCTGCTCCGTCATGTAGGCCTTTTTTGGCCCCCTGCGGGGTGGTGGACAATGTTGTCTCAAACCTTGCAAGAGAACCTTGTTGAAATCGCCAACGTGAGCTTCGATATTGGTCTCCCATGTGGGTGGTGCATAAGTGGAGAGGACTGAATGGACTGTTTGGCCGTTGATCTGCTCAGGGTCAAACCCAAGGCCATCAGGGCTGATTCTTGATCTGCGTTGTAGCCACTCTTGCCATTGAAGTTCAACCGCTGTCGCCTCATGGTCCCAAGCTGTTCTGCCCAAGTCAAACTCCTCCACTACACGTGATAAGTGGCACTGACCGCGGAAGTGATGAGTCAACAAAACATAGTCAATGCAGTAGCTCTTCTCTCCTGTTGGGTCCGTCCATGTTTCAGTGGGGCCCACATGCGCTGTCGTAGTGCAAGGAAAGAAAAGACCTTGTTCTTCTGCAAAGCTACGTAGCAGTGATGTGCCAGATGAAGTCGCAAAGCCAGTTTGGTGCACTGCAACTCCATCATAGTCCCCAGGGCCTGCATTCGCATCCAACATGACAATCAAGGGATCAGTCGCTGGTTTGTGATGGAGCGCCTCTGATAGAGTATGCCACCATTGTGCTCGTTCTGCATGTGAAATGCCGCTGTGTGGGGCGTAGGCTACAAGGAGCCAACATCGCCAAAAGCGTGTATCAACACTCACTAGCAGGCTTCGTGGTGACTTGTAAACAACTTGAAAGTCATGCCGGTCAAAGAATTGCGGCCGTCCCTGAATACTCCCATAAGGTTGTGCCAGGTTGATCCAGAGTTCTACTCCTTGTTGATGATTTTGATGACCTGAACTCATCCTCAAAACTTGATTCACACAAGAGTGAAATTCAGGAGTTTTGGACTCTTGGGCTCCCAGGAAATTGAAGCCAAGCATAGCAAACTGAGACCTCAGGTAATCCAATCGTCCTCCATGCCCTTCTGGGGCTCCACTGAGGGAATTGACATTGACGCTACAAGCGCTGACAGTGAATTCCATGAGGTCCCATTGCTGTGTGGTTGTCTGACCTCTAGTGTCTTCACTCCCTGCTGGATCATGTTGTTGAGGTAGTTGTGGAGCTGGTGCATGAAGTCCTTTTCCACAAAATCTTGGAAGATCAGCGTGTTGTCCGACAATGAGCCAAAGGTGGCTCATGGCGGCTTTCCATTTTCGCATGTCCATTCGTGGCCTTGGACAATAAAAACTGCGCTGGCGCTCTCTTTTCGCGAGCCAATCACAGATTTCATTCCATGCCTCCCCAGCATGCCCAGGGACGTGTTGATATTGGACTCCATCTCTTCCCAGCGCTGCCTCAATCGCTTGAAATGCCCCTCTCAAGAAGGCAAAGGTCTCATCCATCTCCGCTGCTCCCGTTGTCCCTGCTGCTTGTCCCAGAGCCACTCTCGAGTCGGAACGAAAGCAGGTAGGAGTCTTTTGGTTGAAACTCAGCCGCCATAAGGCGGCCCATGAGAGTGCTTCCTTCTCTGCAATGTCTGCGCCAATGCGTTTTGCCCCAAGATGGGCATTGCTTGTCGGGTCATAATGTACTTGTTGTGCTGTCCATCCCATGAACTTGATACCTGGGGGCGCGTATCGCTCGCCAACAATGACATAAGCCCACGTGTCTCCTGTTCCATCTTCTTCTGCCCGCATAGGAGGCGCATGCTTGGCCGAGCCCAGAGAAGAGCCATCAGTGTAGACCAGGAATCTGTCGATCTCCTCAATCGGGATGCTGGGGTCACATTGGTCAACTGCAGCTTGTAGCTCCTCAGGTAGCTCATATCCTACAAAATCTAGACAAAGTAGATCTTGATGTGAAAGAAAGAGCTCATGCAAGTCGCTGGTCTGCACCCCAAGATCGACTAGCTGGTCACTTTCAGTATGGGATGGATCATGGAAGAACGGTTGTCTGGTGTGCTCACCAGTTGGTTGCGGCTTCGGCCAATCAACGTTCTTCTGAGGCTTATGAGGCTTCTCGTTGATCGTAACAACTTGGTCCAAAAAGCAAACCTTGAAAACAGAGGGATAGATTTCCTCCTCAGATGCAATAATGGCTCGCCAGAATCCAAGTTGATAAAGAACACTCATAAGCTCGTTGGTCTGCAACTGTTTCCTGTCCGTGTGCCCGATGACATCCTGCATGTTACTTCCCCCGTGAAATGCTGTGTTCACAAAGACATAGTCATAGTGCAATGTCTCGCAGGGTTCTGCCGACAGGCAGACTACCACTCCACATTCATTGCATAACACTGGGAGAGCCTTCAGTCCCCAGCACGCTAACTCTGCTGCCGCATCATCATGTGTAGCTTCTGCAGAAAGTGTGATGTAGCTTGGGGACGGTTGACTTGATGCCAGCCACTTCACTCTAACAGCTACCATACCAGTCTGCATCACTGGTTCGTCCTCAGAAATGAGCTCATCCAGCAGTATCACCCGTCGTTGTTGGTGTACTTGCAGAAGTGCTGTGGACGATGAGCTTGCTGTGGGCGTTCTGGCTGCTCTGGCGATGATGTCCCTCAAATGATTCAGGATCACAATGAAACTCAAACCATGCCTGATGTTGTACTGCTGCACGTGATCAAGTTCAACATCTCCATGCCAAACTGCACAATCAACCAAGCTCTCAATGAAAGTCTCATCTCGAATGCCAAGCAAGTCCAAAAAGTCACTTTTCCGCAAGGGAAAGGGCATGACCGTGACAAAAGACCTTGCTGTCGTTCCCGCATCCGTGGCATCAACCGCAAAGACATGTACGCTTCTGCTGTCATGTCGGGGGTGTTGCACAATAAGAACATGCGGAACTGCTGCATCTCCTACATCTGTCGGGCCCCTGGGTCTTGGTACAATGAGGTAGAAGTCGAGTTCTGCATCTGGATCAACTCGATCATCCCACGTCTCTGCTAGGACATCTAACCAGCTAGAGATATCTGATGTCAACCTTGCTGGACGAGAAACTTCGCACGCTGGGAACCGATCATGGTCTGAGTACCATGTTCTGGCATATAGGATTCTTCCTTCATCCTCACGTTCCACAGCCGCAAAATGATGCCACACTGGAAAAAATTCTTGCAGAAAGTGCTGCTCATTGCCAAAAGCTAACTGCGGTCGTCCTACTTCTGGTTGTGTCCCGTTGGAGGTTTCATAAGAGCGTGCCTCTTGTCGATCTCGCTCTCCAACCTTGAGGTTGGAAATGAACTCCTCGATGGGCTCCTCGCACGATCTGGTAAGAAAACTGGGCCACGGGTCCATTGGCGGAACATGGTGGCCTGGCATTTGAAACAGTGCCATGGCATCCTTGTCATAGTCTAGGTCCGCCGGTTTGGGGACATAGGCGAACGTGTCATAGACCGGCATGTCTGTCACGTCGATTCCTTCAGGATTGGCTTCGAGGATAACTGGAATGTTGGATGCTCGATAGCCACGTCGCATGCATTGCGCCACCTCTCGAGTGTAATACTTGCGAAGTTCACCTCTTCCTGGAGGGACCACTACCTTCAAATAGTCCCCATGACGTAGATCAATAAGTGCTCTGCCCTGCATCTTCACTGGCTTTCGGTTGTGCCACATGAGACATGCCTGTCTTGCATAAGTGCAGAAAGGTTGAAGCCCAAGAACGGCCAACAGTGCTTTGCGTGAAATAGTTTTCGGCAGAAGCTTCGCTCTCCTCACTGTCTCTGCATCCAGAGAAGGCATAGCATTGTGGAACTCCACATCCAAAAGAATCAATTGAAATGTAGACCCTTCTGTCACATCTTGCGGCTGCTGCACAATGACTGGTCTCACACTTGCCATTTGTAGATCTTCTGGAGGATGCCCTACAATGTGGATTCTACTCACGTCATGGTGACTCATTCGAGCTTGATACGCAATGTCTTGATGAAGCAGCTCATAAGTTCGCCATCGAGGTCGGCAATGTACTGGGTCATAATCCATGAAATATGCCAAAGTGGAATGTCGTTCCTCTTGCCCTTCAGATGATTCAGTCTCAGATCCGCTGCCATCTTCTGGGTCTGATGGTGAAATCTCTGTCTCGATCTCCATCTCTACTTCATCTCCTTGGCGCGCGACTTCGGGCATGTCAACTGCCCGTGCCGCATCGCGATTCAAAAAGGGTTGCAATTCACCTTGGTCTTGTTGAACTCCTGCAGACATCCATGAGACTTCATCAGAGGCTTCTTCGTCCTCTAGATTCATCTCAGATCCAGCAAAGAGTCTTTGAGTGACCTCACGAAGGTGTGCTTGATGGTTAAAATTCTCCGCCGCATAGGTCTCCTTCACATAGTGCTCGGTGTCCTCAAAGCCCACATAGAACTCCACATACTTTGCAAAGGTTACCTGATGAAATCCTGCGCTGCGTGACGGCGAAGATCTGGAAAAAGAAGGAGTTGGATTTGCTAAGATTGTGCCGACTTCCCAAGCTAAATCCAGCCCTCTGATTGATGCCTGCCATGGTGTTTGAAACTCCGGTTCTTGGACAAAACTGTGGTTCCAGCCCAGAATAACATGTGATTCTTGAGCTGCTAAGGAACCTGCCAAATGCCTTGAGCAAGTCTCTCGATATGAGTCTACTTGCCAGGCTTGGCAAAAGGCTGCAGGGCAGAAGGTTTGGCTCCAGACCCAGGCATTGAGGAGTCTCCGCCCCCAGCAGGAAGTTCTCCATCCCCGTTGTTGTCTGTGCGCTGCCTCTTCGCCTTGTTCTCGTTCGCCTCTATGATCGCTGCGTCTGCCTGTTGCTTCATAGTGAGTAAATTCTCCACCATGTGCGTAAGGCTGCTTTGGATGTTCTCGGAGCTGTCCACCTTCTCCGCCATGTCCTCGTCGGAGATGTCGATGTGGTCTTCCCCATCGTGATCCTCTAATGCAGCTTTCTTGGCATCCACATCTTCTTTCGTTTTCTGCAGTTTCTCTCTTGCTGCTCGAACACGATCTGCAAGCTCTTGGTCGTCTCGGCCAAATTTTTCTGCAAACTGCGTCCACCTTTGCAAGGAGTCTGCTATGTATTTTCTCCACGAAGAATGCATTGTCAGTCTTGCTTTCTCCGCATCCTTCAATTTCTTGCGCGCCTTGTCCATCTTGTCCACCGCTGCTTTCAATCCCTTGGCCGTCGGCACCGGTGTGGAATACTCCTCCACAATCTGCCTCGCATTGGAATTCACTGCTGCATTGGACTCCTGAACCGCTGTCGCCAAAATGACCAGCTTCTCCTGGACTGCCGAGGAATCTTCCCCAGCTGTAGAGGCTGATGGCCCTCCCGAATAGTTTGCATTCCATGGCGGCTCCACCTCCGGCGCACTGTACTGGGCGTGTTTCTCTTTCTTGCCACCCGCGTTGCGCTTCCGAGGTGTGCTGCCTCTGTGCCTGTCTTTCGGAGTTTTGGCTCTCTGATGTTGATTGGAGCCATCTCCCCAATGAGAGCTCTCCCAATCCTGCCAGTTGGTCTGTGCGTTCCAGCCTGAGTAGTTCCATCTCCTCGGGCTCTTGGGGTGCTTTTGAGGCACATAGGTTGGATCGCAACCATGCGTCCATTTGATGCCGCACCGAGCGCACTTCGATGTATTGGCCTTGTTTGTCCTCCAGCAAGCTGTGCATCTCCAATCTACGTCTGATTCTGCCATCTCTGCAGCTACCAAGCGTAGAAAGTGATGATCTCTTGAATGATGGCTTTGTAGGACACCAAACACCCTTTGCAGCTGTTGCCTGCCCAGAGTCCTGATTCCGCGCCTGTGCCAGTGCCAAAGCTGTCTCGCCTTGGCTCGCCTGCGCCGCAACCTGCGCCTTGCTGAAGTCGTACTGGCCCTCGCAGAGAAAGATCGCAAAGAGGAACAGTATCTTGAAGACCATACAAGACCTGGCCGTTGCCGATGTACAACACCTGGCCAAAGAGCTCGTGTTTCAAAAAGTGCACCCCCAGCCGTTCAGGATGATGAGCGCAAAGAAAGACCACCGCTGTCGCAAAGGCCCCACCAAACGATATGAGCCCGCGGGTCGCCAGCGAAGTTGACCCGCTAAGGCTTGGAGGATTGAGCGTGCGTGGGTAGCTCTGATCCAAAACCTTCATCCATCAATATGGATATATCATCCAGTCCAATTGTTTTTGCCAAACAAGCGAGGACGATCCAAAATGGTATGTGTCAAGCCACTTGATTCAGCAGGTACAGTATGTGTGTACCCTGAAGGCAAGAAAACAAAAAAAACACGAACTTCTGAACGAAGGCCAAATGCGAAGACAACCGCAGCACGCCCAGACCTCCAGCATGTTGTGTCCAGCATCCAATGCCTTCCACAAGCTTGGAATGTCACACCATCCACCAGGAGACACACGCTTCACTATCGCATCCTTCTTGGTCTCCTGTGGCCACCACAGCCATAGGACCATACCCCTATCGGGCCCTATCCCATCCCATGAAATACTGGCCCTATCCATGAAATGGGCTTCAATTTCCCCGATCAACCAGGTAAAAACCTGGTTTAAAGTTCAGGTCACTTCATAAACCCCATTTCATAACCAAGATAACCAAGGCCTCCTCCACCATATCCCGAACTGCAGCTGTGGGCAATGCACGAAAGGGTGCCACCAGACGCCCCTTGCGGGTGCAACAAGTCGATGCCGCTTTCTCGTCCAGAGCTGGTTCACCATAAGTCCAGTGAATACGACCTGCTGATCCAACAAGAACAGGCCGAACGATTGCTTTCTGTTGATCTATGACTGGGCTAACTGTTGTTATGTAGTGAATCTATCACTCCAGTTCAAGAGGTAAACATGATTTATCAGTAGTGGGCCCCTTCCTGTAACACCTCTCAGTTTCAGCGTTTCACAAGCCATTTCCCCGTTCCCCACCTGATTTCCCTTCCCCAGGGGCCCCAGGGGCCCCAGCACCTGTCGTTTCATCTTCCCAAACTTCTTTCACAGGCACCACCGCTTTGCCTCTCAGCTGATGTAGATCACCCACCTCACAGGAATTGGTCGCTTGCCCTTGGTCTGTCTGAATATGCCAATTTCGGGGTGCAAATCCATCATTTTCACCATTTTTCACCATGCTATTTAAGAGCCTCCGGCGGAAAGAAGTCCTCCGGCTTCAGCAGTTTGACAATCTCCAGATCCGTTGGTCGCCGCAGGAACCTGCCCAGCGCTAGCCATGTTCAAGTTGTGCGAATAGGTCAAACATGGTATATGGTCATCCATCCCATATGTAGGTTTCCTAAAGTGGAAGTATCCCAATAGCTGGATGGTTTAACTGGGGGGTACCCCTATTTTTTGGGGGAAACCAACATTTTGGGAATCCTCACAAAGCGTTTTCTAATCCCCATGGATGACTATGAAGATCTAAGATCCCCCGAAAATGGCCATGATGTCTCCGAGTCACCAATGTCATATTAATGTCATATATTTTTTTGGCCTCCGGTATCAAAGATTGGCAAATGGAAATCATCTATAAATAGAGGATCTAGAGGATCCATGCTTCATTTCCGAAGAATTATCAAGAATTATCCAATTCTTGACCTTGGCAGTATGCAGACATTATATCACATTATCTTAACAAGACAGTGACCTGATGCCTGCGCTTGGTACCCCTTGGTACCCCTTGGTACCGGCCTGAGATTCGATAGAGTCACATGACCTCAGAGGACGATGGTCCTTTAACATAGCGAACTGGAAAATCACATCTTTAATAGGTAAATCAACTATTCCTATGGGCCATGTTCCATAGCTATGTTAAATTACTTGTAATGTGAATCATGTACTATATAAACATCATTGATTGGTAGTTAGTAAACGATATTAAGACTTACAGTCATAGTCTTAGTATAGGATGCAAATCACCACTTGTTTAAGCGTTCATTGTGGGCACTGTGCAGGGACACAGGGAATGTTCATGAATTTTCTGCCAAGTAACCAAGTCGGCTGGGTTCTTTGTCAATGGGATCTTTGAAGGACTCTCTCTCCGACACCACCTACCCGTCTTGGTGGCAGCCAATGCCGCCATCCCACATGGGGATAATCTATCCCCATTTGGGGCAAGTGGTGAGGGTGGCACATTGTGGATCGTTCTTTGTTCCCAGTAGCACAATCATGCAACGACGCTTGATGCAGTGGGAAAGCCTAGGAATCGAACCTACAGTTCCTGTCTTGAACGCTCACTGGCAAAGGTGGAGTAGCAGCACAGCAGAGTAACTTGCAACATGAAACGACTTTACAAGTCAGCATGCATGTCTGGCCTTGCATACAAAGGTCTCCAGATTAAGACTTTTTAGCACCAAGGGTTCGACAAACTGCCCTTTCTCGCCAGATGTTTTCATGGCCACCAAATCGAACCTGCCCAAAAGACCGGTAGATACCGGTAGAGAATGGGCCAAAAAAAATGCTCAAAATGGGTTTAGGGTTCAAGCTTCAAAGGGCTCAATCCGAACGCCGCTATCCCATGCTCATTATATCCCCATAAAATGTAATAAGTTGGCTACATACCATACTTATAGCTATTGAAACCCTCAAATATGTTCCATTTAAGAATAAACGCCTAAAATATTCCCCATGTAGCTATAAATTATCATTGCAACTCCTCTATTTTAAGTAGATTGTATCCAATCATTACCTGCCATAGCAGAGCTCCCTGCCTCTTGACGACCGAAGCCAGTTGTCCAACTTTTGCGCTTTCAGGACTTATCAAGTGCAGGTCACCCAGCAAACACCTCTCAACGAAGACAGACCTCAGTGGATCCAGCTGTTGCTAAATCATACTCTGCATATACTAAATACATCTCGAAATATCTCTACGATCATACTAAATCCATCTAAATTACATACCAAAAAATGAATTGTTGTTATTGATTGTCTCCTCTTAAAATCTGTGGGAGAGTCACATCATCAACACAGGAAATAGCCACAGCGCTTAAATAGTGCGCCGGAAAAACCTTTTTACGCAGCCTTTGCAATGCTAAGCAGCTCGTCCAGGTCGAACTTGAAGACTGGTGCAGTCTGATTCTCTGAACCTTTCCCATCCCAATAGCTCTTGATCAATGACGAAAGAGTTTTCAACTCTTCAGCCTGAAATGACTGGCGCGATGGGAATTCGGGACCCTTCTGCCAGAAGTTTCCGATACCACCCTCTTGTTTGACAGCTTGACATGGTTGATGTCAGAAGCATACCTAGCAAAAATAATCAAACATATGCCAAAATGATGTGCAAATTATACTTGATGTGTGACCAAATGTTGCCAACAGTATCTGCTTCCAATGATGCACTGCCCTCATCTCAGCCTTCAATGGTTTTGCCTTTTGCTCTGGCGGCTGTGAATCGTCAGACTCCTCAGGATTCGGGTCAGAGAACCCTGCAACCCAAGGCCAGAAGTTTACTGTAAGATAAATCACTATTGTAGGCTCATCATAAATCATCATAACCCTAGCGCCTAACTGATGGGATGATTTCCACGGCTGTCACGCTCCTCACTTTCTCTGTCACTATCTTCGACGAAAACAGCCGATCTTCTCCGATAGATTGCTGAGGCAAAAGGCAGTGCAAGCGCCTCAATGTCAAGCTCGAAAAGTAGAGGAAGCACACCCAACATAATCCAACATAACACAAGTGTCATAGCTGGTCGAATAAGGAAGTTTGAGATCATACTGGTATGAGATAGTATAAGATAGTCTGAGCCAAGTATCTCCCCATGCACCAGCTGAAGGACCCAATTTCAGTTTCAAGCCCGTATAGCCGCTGCTTCCGAAACTGAAAGTCACAGTTCCACGCGTCGGAACCTTCTTGAAGACCATGGTCCCCTCCATTCGCGATGGCCCTGAGGAACCTCCATCCTCGTTCAACTTCAATCGCACCGTCTCGGGGCAGCAGCGTCTTTTCTTGCCGTCCCACATCACTTTGCTCGCCTCCGGCTTCCTGACATATGGATACAAAGCTGCGCTTCCCATGTGCATCCCAGGAATCGGTTTATATAATTTATGTGGTGGTGTATGAACCATTAGTCTAACTGTGGATACCAAACGTATATAATTGGGATTAATTGAAGTATTTCATTGTATTTCAATGATGTTCAATGATGTGTTCATGGTATTTTAATGTATATATATAACTGTATATAAATATATGTGGTGAATTTACCAAAAACAATGCCCGACTCCACCAAGTGTCTGCAATGGTCCCAGTGAGCCATCACCTTGCACCAGGAAGTCCAGCTCAATCGAGGCCATCCCGGCCTGCCGCACCTCTGATCCAATCTCATCTAGCCACCGTGGTCAAAGCCCAAGATCTCAATACACTTGGTTGGTATAAGTTGGTACCCCCCTGAAATTGGCGACTTTATTGGAATGATCGGAAAATGATGCTAAACCACGATGAACTATGATAAAATACTGGATTTTGGAAAACCGACCTTTCAGAGAAACCCACATGGACTGCCACAAAAGCACTGGGCCTCTTGTACCGTGCAAACGTAATGGTCGCTGTGCCGGCTGACACCAGGAGAATCCAACTTCCACTTCGCATCTTTGGCCACCTCCAGAGCTTTGTTGAGACCAACGAATTGTAACATTCCATATGTTTTATAGTTCAAGTATTGGAAAAAATGCTATACATGATCTGTCATGGTTTCAGATGGGGACTGGAGCCCAAAACCAAGGCCAGAAGAATAATAGAAGAACAATAGACCTGTGACTGATTTGAAAGTTCTATCATTCTATCACTTGTTTCTTCTTTCACAACCTCCGGCCATGCCTTCGGCTTCTCACTTCTTCGATGTGTTGCCATGACCCTCTGCTCTCGGAAGCGGTTCCTGGCACTGGGATCCAGCTGCAGCCACAGCTGGGATGCCCTGGTGGCGACGTCCAGGAAGCTCGTCGTGCTCCATAACATGGCCTCATGGGAATGGCTGGAAATGGGCTGGAACACCTCCATATTTTTTCCCGAGAGCGTCTAAGCGAAGGGTTCTTCTAATAGAAGGGTCTGCCAAACATTTTAACATCTTCACATCTTCTCACCTTCACATCTTCTCATCATCACATCTTCTCATCTTCATATCTGCTCATCTTCACATCTTCTCATCTTCACATCTTCTCACCTTCACATCTTCTCATCATCACATCTTCTCATCTTCACATCTTCTCATCTTCACATCTGCTCATCTTCACATCTGCTCATCTTCACATCTTCTCATCTTCACATCTTCTCACCTTCACATCTTCTCATCATCACATCTTCTCATCTTCACATCTTCTCATCTTCACATCTGCTCATCTTCACATCTCATCTTCACATCTTCACATCTTCTCATCTTCACATCTTCTCACCTTCACATCTTCTCATCATCACATCTTCTCATCTTCACATCTTCTCATCTTCACATCTGCTCATCTTCACATCTTCTCATCTTCACATCTTCTCACCTTCACATCTTCTCATCATCACATCTTCACATCTTCACATCTTCTCATCTTCACATCTTCTCATCATCACATCTTCTCATCTTCACATCTGCTCATCTTCACATCTGCTCATCTTCACATCTGCTCATCTTCACATCTTCTCATCTTCACGTCTTCTCATCTTCACATCTTCTCATCTTCACATCTTCTCATCATCACATCTTCTCATCTTCACATCTGCTCATCTTCACATCTGCTCATCTTCACATCTTCTCATCTTCACATCTTCTCACTTCACATCTTCTCACTTCACATCTTCTCATCATCACATCTTCTCATCTTCACATCTTCTCATCTTCACATCTGCTCATCTTCACATCTTCTCATCTTCACATCTTCTCACCTTCACATCTTCTCATCATCACATCTTCTCATCTTCACATCTTCTCATCATCACATCTTCTCATCTTCACATCTGCTCATCTTCACATCTGCTCATCTTCACATCTTCTCATCTTCACATCTTCACATCTTCTCCATCGTCACAGCTCTCATCATCACATCTTCTCATCTTCAACTGCCTATCATCTGCTCATCTTCTACGACGGCTCATCTTCACATTCTTCTCAATCTTCACATCTTCTCACCTCACTCTTCCCCTTCACATCTTCTCATCTTCACATCTTCTCATCCTATCTTCAATCTTCTTCATCTTCACATCTGCTTAACTTTCACACTCTTCCAGCTTCACTCTTCTCACCTTCACTCTTCCTCATCATCACTCTTCCATCTTCACATCTTCACATTTTCACATCTGCTCTTCTTCACATCTGCTCATCTTCACATCTTCTCACTTCACATCTTCTCACTTCACATCTTCTCACTTCACATCTTCTCATCTTCACATCTTCTCATCTTCACATCTTCTCATCTTCACATCTTCTCATCTTCACATCTTCTCATCTTCACATCTTCTCACCTTCACATCTTCTCATCATCACATCTTCTCATCTTCACACCTGCTCATCTTCACATCTGCTCATCTTCACATCTTCTCACCTTCACATCTTCTCATCTTCACATCTGCTCATCTTCACATCTGCTCATCTTCACATCTTCTCATCTTCACATCGTCACATCTTCACATCTTCACATCTTCTCATCTTCACATCTGCTCATCCTCACATCTTCACATCTGCTCTTCATTACATCTTCTCATCTTCACATCTGCTCATCTTCACATCTGATCATCTTCACATCTTCTCATCTTCACATCTTCTCATCTTCACATCTGCTCATCTTCACCTCTTCTCATCTTCGCATCTTCTCATCTTCACATCTGACATCTGCTCATCTTCACATCTTCTCATCTTCAATTCTTCACTTCTGCTCATCCTCACGTCTTCACATCTGCTCATCATGACATCTTCTCATCTTCACATCTTCACATCTGCTCATCTTTACATCTTCTCATCTTCAGATCTTCTCATCTTCACATCTGCTCATCTTTACATGTTCTCATCTTCACATCTTCGCATCTGCTCATCTTCACATCTTCTCATGTTCACACCTTCTCATCTTCACACCTTCTCATCTTCACATCTTCTCATCTTCACATCTGCTCATCTTGACATCTGTTCATCTTTACATCTTCTCATCTTCACATCTTCTCATCTGCACATCTTTTCATTTTCACATTTTCTCATCTTCACATCTTCACATCTTCTCATCTTCACATCTTCTGATCTTCACATCTGCTCATCTTTACATCTTCTCATTTCCACATCTTCTTATCTTCACATCTACACATCTGCTCATCTTTACATCTTTTCATCTGCTCATCTTCTCATCTTCACATCTGCTCATCTTCACACCTTCACATATGCTCATCTTTACATCTTCTCATCTTCACATCTGCTCATCTTCACATCTTCACATCTGCTCATCTTTACATCTTTTCATCTTCTCATCTTCACATCTGCTCATCTTCACATCTGCTCATCTTCACATCTTCTCATCTTCACATCTTCTCACCTTCACATCTTCTCATCATCACATCTTCTCATCTTCACATCTGCTCATCTTCACATCTGCTCATCTTCACATCTTCTCATCTTCACATCTGCTCATCTTCACATCTTCACATCTTCTCATCTTCACATCTGCTCATCTTCACATCTTCACACCTGCTCATCTTTACATCTTATCATTTTCACATCTTCTCATCTTCACATCTGTTCATCTTCTCATCTTCACATCTGCTCATCTTCACATCTTCTCATCTTCACATCTTCACATCTTCACATCTGCTCATCTTCACATCTGCTCATCTTTACATCTTATCATCTTCGCATCTTCTCATCTTCACATCTTCACATCTGCTCACCTTTACATCTTCTCATATTCACACCTTCTCATCTTCACATCTTCTCATCTTCACATCTTCACAGCTGCTGATCTTCACATCTTCCCATCTTCACATCTGCTCGTCTTCGCATCTTCACATCTGTTCATCTTTACACCTTCTCAGCTTCACATCTTCTCATCTTCACACCTGCTAATTTTCACATCTTCTCATCTCAGCATCTTCACATCTGCTCATCTTTACATCTTCTGATCTTCACATCTGCTCATCTTTACATCTGCTCATTTCCACATCTTCTCATCGTCACATCTTCACATCTTTTCATCTTTACATCTTCTCATCTGCTCATCTTCTCATCTTCACATCTGCTCATCTTCACATCTTCACATCTGCTTATCTTTACATCTTCTGATCTTCACATCTGCTCATCTTCACATCTTTACATCTTCTCATCTTCACGTCTGCTCATCTTCACATCTTCACATCTGCTCCTCTTTACATCTTCCCATCTTCACATCTGCTCATCTTCACATCTGTTCATCTTTACATCTTCTCATCTTCACATCGCCTCATCTTCACATCTGCTCATTTTCACATCTTCTCATCTTCACATCTTCACATCTGCTCATCTTTACATCTTCTGATCTTCACATCTGCTCATCTTTACATCTTCTCATCTTCACACCTTCTCATCTTCACATCTTCACATCTGCTCATGTTTACATCTTCTCATCTTCCCACCTGCTCATACTCACATCTTCACATCTTTGCATCCTCACATCCTCTCATCTTCACAACTTCACATCTGCTCATCTTTACATCTTCTCATCCTCACATCTTCTCACCTTTACATTTTCTCATCTTCACATCTTCTCAACTTCACATCTTCTCATCTTCACATCTTCACATCCTCACATCTTCACATCTGCTCATCTTCACATCTTCTCATCTTCACATCCTTACATCCGCACATCCTAACATCTTCACATCCTCACATATTCACATTTTCTCATCTTCACATCTTCTCATCTTCACATTTTCTCATCTTCACATCTTCTCATTTCCACATTTTCACATCTACTCGTCTTTACATCTTCACATCTGCTCATCTTCACATTTTCACATCTTCTCATCTTTACATCTTATCATCTTCACATCTGCTCATCTTGACATCTTCACATCTGGTCATCTTTACATCTTATCATCTTCACACCTGCTCATCTTTACATCTTCTCATCTTCACATCTTCTCAACTTCACATCTTCTCATCGTCGCATCTTCACATCCTCACATCTCACGTCTTCACATCTCACGTCTTCACATCTTCTCACCTTCACATCCTCACTTCCCTGATCCTCACATCTTCACATCCTCACTTTTTCACATTTTCTCATCTTCACATCTTCACATCTGCTCATCTTTACATCTTCTCATCTTCACATCTTCTCAACTTCACATCTTCACATCCTCACATCCTCACATCTTAACATCTCGCATCTTCACATCTTCTCATCTTCACATCCTCACATCCCCACATCATCACATCTTCACATCCTTACATCTTCACATCTTCTCATCTTCACATCTTCTCATCTTCACGTCTTCTCATCTTCACATCTTCACATCTGCTCATCTTTACATCTTCTCATCTGCTCATCTTTACATCTTCTCATCTTCACATCTTCTCATCTTCACATCTTCACATTCTCTCTTGCCCTGTTGCTCTCTTGCCCTCCTGCTCCATTGCCCTCTTGCTCTCTCCTTCTTTTCTATTTCTCTCTTAAGGCGCGGGGCAGTGCCAACGAGACGGCACAAAACGCAACCTTTTCGCACGAAACGAGGTTCGATCGCCAAAAACCGCAGTAAACCTGCGGTTTTGAGTGTGCCGCGACAACCCTTTCGCACGAAATGAAGTTCGATCACCAAAAACTGCAGTAAAATTGCGATTTTGAGTGTACCGCGACAACCATTTCGCACGAAATGAAGTTCGATCGCCAAAAACTGCAGTAAAATTGCGATTTTGAAGTGTCCGCGGCAACCCTTTCGCACGAAGCGAGGTTCGATCCCCAAAAACGGTGGTAAAATTAGGATTTTGAAGTGTCGGTCGCAACCCTTTCGCACGAAACTGCGGTAAAATTGCGATTTTGAAGTGTCCGCGGCAACCCTTTCGCACAGAAGTAAAATCGCGATTTCGAAGTGTCGGTCGCAACCCTTTGGCACGAAATGACGTTCGATCGCCAAAAACTGCGGTAAAATTGCGATTTTGCAGTGTCGGTCGCAACCCTTTCGCACGAAACGAGCTTTGATCATCAAAAACTGCGGTAAAATTGCACTTTTTCTATGACAACATGGCATTGTCTCTGTGTGTAAAAGCTTCTGTGTGTAAAAGTGTCTGTGTGCAAAAGCTTCTGTGTTTAAAAGCTTCTATGTGTACAAGGGTCTGTCTGTACAAGTCTCTGTGTGTAAAATCTCTGTGTGTAAAAGTGTTTGTGTGTAAAAGCTTCTGTGTGCAAAAACTTCTGTGTAAAAGCGTCTGTGTGTAAAAGGTTCTGTGTGTAAAAGCGTCTGTGTGTACAAGGGTCTGTGTGTAAAAGTCTCTGTGTGTAAAAGTGTTTGTGTGTAAAAGGGTCTGTGGGTAAAAGCTTCTTCTGTGTGTAAAACCTTCTATGTGTAAAAGCTTCTGTGTGTAAAAGCGTCTGTGCGTACAAGGTTCTGTGTGTAAAAGCTTTTGTGTGTAAAAGTGTCTGAGCGTAAAACCTTCTGTGTGTAAAAGGGTCTGTCCGTAAAAGCTTCTGTGGGCAAAAGCTTCTGTGTGTAAAAGCGTCTGTGCGTAAAAGGTTCTGTGCGTAAAAGCGTCTGTGTGTACAAGGGTCTGTGTGTAAAAGTCTCTGTGTGTAAAAGCTTCTGTGTGTAAAAGCTTCTTCTGTGTGTAAAAGCTTCTGTGTGTAAAAGCGTCTGTGTGTAAAAGCTTCCGTATCTAAAAGCTTCTGTGTGTACAAGGGTCTGTATGTAAAAGTCTCTGTGTGTAAAAGTGTGTGTGTGTGTAAAAGCTTCTGCGTGTAAAAGCTTCTGTGTGTAAAAGCTTCTGTGTGTAAAAGTCTGTGTGTAAAAGCTTCTGTGTGTAAAAGCTTCTGTGTGTAAAAGCATCTGTGTGTAAAAGGTTCTGTGTGTAAAAGTGTCTGTGTGTAAAAGAGTCTGAACAGAAAAGATTCTGTGTGTAAAAGGGTCTGTGGGTAAAAGCTTCTTCTGTGTGTGTGTAAAAGTTTCTATGTGTAAAAGCTTCTGTGTGTAAAAGTGTCTGTGCGTAAAAGGTTCTGTGTGCAAAAGCTTCTGTGTGGTGTAAAAGTCTCTGTGTGTAAAAGTGTGTGTGTAAAAGCTTCTGTGTGTAAAAGCTTCTGTGTGTAAAAGTCTGTGTGTGAAAGCATCTGTGTGTAAAAGCGTCTGTGTGTGAAAGCATCTGTGTGTAAAAGTGTCTGTGTGTGTGAAAGCTTCTGTGTTTAAAAGCTTCTGTGTGTAAAAGTGTCTGTGTGTACACGGGTCTGTGTGTAAAAGTCTCTGTGTGTAAATGTGTTTGTGTGTAAAAGTGTTTGTGTGTAAAAGTGTCTGTGTGTACAAGTGTCTGAGCGTAAAACCTTCTGTGTGTAAAAGGGCCTGTCCGCAAAAGCGTCTGTGTGTACAAGGGTCTGTGTGCAAAAGTGTCTGTGTGTAAAAGTGTCTGTGTGTAAAAGTCTCTGTGTGTAAAAGCTTCTGTGTGCAAAAGCGTCTGTGTGTAAAAGGTTCTGCGTGAAAAACTATACGAAGGCTACGATGCAAACTATTTGTCTTTTACTTGTAATATAGTCTTGATACTACTCTTCTCGTCTGCCTATAATACATCTTTAATTTATTGTCTTGTAGTATAGTGTCTCAATACTAACAACAGAAGACCCTGCTCCTCTACGACTCTACGCTCTCGGGCCATCCGTCGTCTAGTCTCATGTTAAAAGCTGCATGTGGCCTTTGTGAAACCCTGAGGTATGTTGCAACCATTGGCACAAAAGTCTGGAAATGCTGTCTACTGCACCATCTCAAAGTGATTTTTGCAGCTGACAATCCTTCTTCTGCTCTTGAAGGAAAGCTCCAAAACCACTTGGTCCAGAAAGTTCCCTGGGGATCAATGGCTTCCTGCGCTCCAGGAAATGATCGATCTCATTCTGGAACTCTTCCTGCGGGGCTTGGCAGCAACGCGTTTCTCGGTCTGACTCGGTCTGAATCGGTCCTTCATCTTTTTCGTAATGCGGGAAGGCACTGCATCTAGTGATGGAGATGACTCCTGCGACTGCGATCGTGCGGCTGAAGAACCGCTAAAAATCTTTGGAACCCCTGCCGGGTGCTTGAGTCCCCTTGCTAAGGTCGCATCTCAATGCCAACTTCAGTACAACTCTGGTTCCTAGTTCCCAGACCAACAAAACAGTTTAATGAACCTCAAAAGGTGCAAATTTTGACTCTTTTCTTATTTCCCAGGCAGACGTTCAACGCGCTGAAGGACTGGCCTTCGACAATGCACAATGTGCAACGCAAATCACTACTGCAAGACTGGTGCACAATGCGTTCTCGCAAACTCAACTCCTACTGTATCTTTCTAAGTTGTCTGTGCAAAACTCTGACCACACCACTTCTTTCCGCCTTCATAATTTCCGTGAGAAGATTTCTGACAATTTCAGAAGACAATCCAGTAATGTCAATCATAAAGCCCACCCGAGCGCTGTCGTCTGTCCTGGAGAGTCTGGTACCGCTGCAGTTCCTTTCTCAAGCGTTCCACTTCCGCCTGCAACTGTTCAAAAAGACATAGGCGGTGTAGCCAACGCAAATGGGTCATGCAGAAGGATAGTGTATGATGTATGCGTATATTTTTTTTAAAAAAAACTATATATATATATATAAATAAATCAATAAATAAATCAATAAATAAATAAATACATAAAAATAATGAAAAACATCAATCAATCAATCAATCAAATCAAATCAAATCAAATCAAATCAAGTAAATCAATCAATCAATCAACCAATCAATCAATCAATCAATCAACCAGTCAGTCAATCAATCAACAAATATATATTTATATAAATATATATAAATAGATATATCAATAAATAAATCAATAAATAAATATATACTTATATATATAAGTAAATGAATAAATGAATCAATAAATAAATCAATAAATAAAAAAAAACAATCAATAAACAAATATATGTGTATATACATAAATATATAAACAAATAAAATAAATAAATAAATAGATAAATAATATATGTGTGTGTATCGAAAAAGAGCATGCAACTGTTGAGTGTTGATGGATATAATGATACATGTGTAACGTGTATAGATATCATTGCTGTATGTTTTTGATGCAAATTATACAAAAGATTACCATATGTCCACGTTCTTTCATTTTTACAAAATTATGTCTCTATATACAACATATATCTGGATTACATATGTCCCTGTTTGTATCTTATGTGAACGGAAGAATATGTATCGTATTTTCTTATATTCATACATATATAATTATCTATGATTAAATCTATATGAGTTAATTATATATAGTTACATTTCTTTTCACCCCAGAGGCTTCTCCAACGGACAGCCCTATATTTTCCGTCGTTCAACCTGCTAGCTCGCAGGATTCCCTTGATGGTTGCAAGCTGGTCCCCCAGCGACGATCATGAACATTCAAAGGCACCACAGCTGGGATCTCCAGCTTAGCTGGAGCTGCTTTCGGAGCAACAGCTGGTTCAGGCACTTGCTCGGCCTGCCTGGTTTTCTTCTTCGGTGGCTGCTTGGCGGCGGCTTGCCCTTTCGGATGATCCTCATCCCTCGGAGCTGCCTTGGCTTTCTTGGAAACCGGAAGAAGGGTCGCTGGACTGCTTGATGCGGGCGCCGTAAAGGACATCTCAGATGAGGAACTCTCATCCTTTCTCCAGCTGCTGCTGCTGAAGATGGCATAGGCCCAGCTGCTTAGCCCAGGCTCCCTTTGCATTCCTTGGCGGCCGGGTGTCGGCCTCCACATGCCCGTCCTGACTGAAGCACTACTGAGTCTGCCCTCACAGTCCTCTGGGTCCTTGGCACAGGCATCCACATTGTACAACATGGCTCCAGATTTAAGCGTCTGGGTGAGCGAGCATGTATCCCATGAGCTCAGCTGGCAACATGTCTTCCTTCGCAATGGGTTTGTGCTCCAAACACCGCTTCTTCCTCGCCGCAGGGGTCAGCCCCTCTGAGAAGCGAAATTAAGCTGGAAGTTGAGCCGCATCTGGAGATCGACCAAATGACAGTTTGATCCTGCTGGATGATTGTCCATTCCAACAGAACGTCTCCCAGGCCTCATATTCGGAAGCTTCGAGGCGACCTCGTAGGCTCTGTGCTTGACCCTCAAGCTTTGTTGGTACTTCGCCGCCGAATAGTGGTGGGGCAGGTTTGTCCAACCTAATCCCCCTGAGCCAGGTGCTCATCGTCCGAGAACTGCAGCATGTGGCCCACCGTGGGTAAGATTCACCTGAAGGAATATGTTGTGAGCTGCTGGTATTCCCGGAGCCAGTGCTCGCCCCAGCAGAAGCCCGATGCAACCTTGACCGGGACCGACCAATCGAAGCCTGCCCTGTTGCGGGCTTGTTTGCCCCTGGCGCAGTGGGCATGTAGCGTCAAGACCGTCAATTTCACTGGGGTGGATAACGAGAGGCGCCTGTACCTCAAGCACCCTTGTCCCACCAACCAGCATCCCAGTAATCGCCTCCAATTGGCATTGTTGAGGCGGAAGAAGTCTTCGATCATGTCCTCCAAGAAGCACAGCATTGGGGGCTCCACCATGACTGCTTGTGACCTGCGCTGTTTTCTGGACCCTGTTGTTGGCGCTGACTGGATACCTTCCAGCGGCCAATTAGGCTGCCCCTGCCGAGAAATCCACCGCAAGGAGTTGAAAGCCCTTGGGCCCTCAGTGCCAATGTCCAAGAAGGATCGTATAAGCCCGTGCTTGAGTTCGGCATAGGTCCGCACTGCATTGATGATTGTTGCTTTGTCAGCGTGAGTGACTCTCCAGTTTTCCATTCGGAAAAGATCCCCTCAGAAATCTGGCCCATAGGCTTCATCACTCCAGCATCCATGAACACCTGTGTCAAGCCAGCCTCTGTTCATGATCTGCTCCGGCTGACCATCGGCTGGCCGAAGGCCGACTGTAGACCTCTTCGAGATTGGCAAATCCGCTTTGGACGAAGGCTCCTGAAGGAGAAGGAGGATGAGCTTGGCCTCGACTCTAACGCAGCGGCTGCTTCTTCCAAAGCCCTCACACGTCTGATGGGTGGCATGTCACGCGATTAAAGGACTCGTGTACATGGGTCAACTCCCATGTGCACCACCTCAAACACGGACCCCCACAAAACCCTGGCCTCATCGAGCTGTCCACCAAGCACCATCGTGTTGATATGCCGGCTGAAGTCCATCCAAGCACCCGTAGAAAGGAGTACCTCATCAGTATGGACCGCCACATGGATGCCTAGTATTGGCATGTATCCCAAGAGTGGTCCCTCTACCCAAAAGATACAAAGGGGCAGACGGGGGATAATGTGGTCGCTCCACAATCCAACCGAGACCCAAAAAGCAAAAGGATGCTATTTTGGATCAAGGCACTTGAGCCAAAATAACATGGTGATTAGAAATGATCTGTGCAGACCCAAGCCTTCCAAAACCTGATGCGCATAAATATGTAAATATGTATATATATATATACGTATATTTATTTATTTACTTATTTATCTATTTATGCTCGGTACTACGCTGTGCAACGTCAATGCCCATGATTTTCCGGTCCCGTGACTGATTGCTTTCTTAAACATTCTCGATCAGCCTTCATCTCTTTGACCTCTGCACTTCTTGGTATCTCTACCTTGAGGGAAAGCTTCGTGTCCCCAGTCTCCTCAACACCAGACATCAGCAAACTGTCCGCATCTAATTAATTATTATTGGGCAATGCTGCAATACCAGTCACATATTCATAAATTCAATTAAATTCATATAAGACTGCTGCCTGTACAACTGTTTTTTTGTTGCGTCACCGCGCAGTCCTTCTTTTCCGCAACGCGTTGCGAGGTGGAGCTTGGCGTCGTTGAAGATCCACCCGCTTCAAGCATATGATCTGAGAAGATCCACAATGAAAGGTGCCAAGCCAGCAAAACAACGCAGATTCGTAGATTTTATTCCACTGTGTTGTTCCTCCATTTTTTGAGCTGAAACTCAGTGAAACAGACTAAATGTATCTAAATGTCAGAAGTTTGGTCGGTTTGGAACCAACCCCAAAAATCTCACTGCCAAGTGTCGATGACGTGCAAAAATTCCGTGCATCGCCGGGCAGGAAAAGTAAGCAACACCTTTCACCGTGCCATCCTTGGTTCACCCTTGGAGGTCCCCAACGTCAAATGAACGGCCCTGGAAACAGGAGCCTGCTATTGCAAAACAATCGAAGTGACAATTACATCAATTCCCTTTACATAGTACTGCAAGCTATAATCGCATCGGTATGCAAGAAAGAAACGTGCTTCACGTCATTGTGCACATTGCGCTGAGGCACATTTTTGCCCAAAGGTTTTTCCAGCTCTATTCCAACCCACTCACCTTCTGCAAATTGAGTCGTTCCAACGAAGCGAACAATGCCGGCACAGTTCTGTGCTGGCCTTCAAGACGGAAGAGCTCAAGTCATTTCAATCAAAAGTTCCGAGTCAACTTTGGATCGACAATTACAAGCAATAGATGATATTGATCTTATTTGATCTTTGTATAAATTCAAAACCGGGAACCTGTCGACCTAAACAACAAAAATCTGATGGCAAATTTTGCCAGTCACCCTTAGTGGCTGGAGATGTGTTGAGTGTGTGGTTCATTCACAATCTTTTTGGACCGCATGGATCGAAGGAAGTATTGCTAGACTTGGCGTCACGTGCCTCACCAGAACATGGGCTCCAACCTTGAAGTTGGGTGCCTCATGACACACGGGTCCCCCGGGTCCACGAGAATCACAAACAATTCGTCTCCATAACGCTGTTCCAAAAGGACTTGTGTCCTATCAGTTGTTTTGCTGCTGAATTGCACTGTCAGGATGGAGCTTCTCCAACGGCAAAGTCTCCTGCAAAGAGCTGCTTGCTCACATCATGCAACATCAAAATACCTCAAATCCACAACAAATCTCCATGGCCGAAGTCAACCTGTAACCTCTGTAACCATCATGACTGTTTCGCAGTCTTCTCCCAAGAAACACGGAGTTGACGTGGGTTCGGCATGAGAATCGATTTCAGTCCTGCTTTCTTAGTACTTTGGCTGGGCGAACGAAGAGGCCGTGGGCAGGGCGGGCGGTGAAATAATGCACATTTTGTACCTGCGGCTGATACATGTTCATTTGTGCAAAGCCAACCTGCGCACAGCAGCAAAAACACAGAGGCTTTGCCCACAAATGTGTGATTGATCCCATGTTGTCCCAACTTTCATGAGACAACGGGGAAAATCATGATCAGATCAACAGCGGTAGGGAATGAGTGTTCCCAACATTTTCAGACAAACCCAGGAAACTGATACCCAAAAAACTGGTAATCCCACCACTCTTATATTAAATATCACCTATGTTTGGGACCCCAACATGAAATCAAGCGAACAGATCCAATACATTCCAATACAATTTCACCAGGCTTTCGATTGAGGGGCATTTTTTGTATCGTAATTGTCGATCTCATCTGAGGATGGTTAAACCATCACCATATCAGGTGAAACGGCCATTTTGGATGATTCAAACCTCCTATTTCCCGGAGCACAGTGCCATTGTTCTTCCCTTTGGCTTCGTCCAGTTCCACGCCCAGCCATGTGCCCTCGGCAAACTGCGTCAAACCGATGAACAGAACGGTACCTGCCACGGCAACCAGAACTGGTTGGCTGGGGAAAAATGTTGATATGGAAAATGATCAAGACAATAATTGAAACATATTGAAACGATCCGATGTAACCATTTTCAAATAAAAAAAATTGGCCTACTGAATGGCGATTCCCAGCGAATTGTGATCATCCCCACTATGTAGACCTTTGTAAAACTAACAACCTGCAGAAAATGACGATCGCCAGAGCGTTTCAAAGTGCTTGCACCAATGACACATAGTTTCCCCCGCCTGGCAATAGATCTTCACCTTCCAGCGCCTTCACCAAAACACGCGAGTTGATGGTGAGATCTGCCGGCACTTCAGCCACCGACCTAGCGCATTTGGAGTTTCCTGAAATCGGGGTACCCCAAATGGATGGTTTATAGTGGAAAATCCTATTAAAATTGATGATTTGCTACCCCAATTTCAGGAAACCTCCGTTTGAATGTGCTTAATTTTCTACCTCGACACAAATTGCATATTGCAAAACTAAGGTATTTTGTTGTTTCTGAACACATGTTTCAGGACGTAAATCGCATGTTACAAATACATTGTCAAAGCACAATCATTGTTAATGTGAGATCCAAAACTGTCAGGGAGAAATGACCTAATGAACCATTTGGGGGATATTGTAAATAAATGTAGGTCATCCCGTTCCTAAGGGTATACACTGTATACACAATCTCAAACGCCACCGCTGTTGGGATGGTATCAATGTGCATCCCAGATTACTCAACATGTTTCATGCCATTTTATGCCGCCAAACCACGTTTTTGCTGCGGATTTGCGTGCCAGCTTTTGCCCTTTGGATGAGTTTCGCATGGCGAAATTGCCATGCCAGACCTGTTTTTTCTGTATAAGTTTGAAAAAAAATATTATGTTGATGTCTGTGTAAAGGAACATTGGTTTCCCATGCTGCCATTTTTTTTTATTCCAATCAAACCATGTCAATTCTGGCAAATTATTGATTCCCCCTCACTTATCCAGGACTGATCCTTAAAGAGATTCTGCCTGACCTAAATTCCGACACATTTGGTCTTGTAATTGAAGGATTGGGACATCAAACAAAACCACCATCCCAAAGCATGGTCAATAGTGTCCTTTACGAGCCAATTTGAAATGCGCGAATACGTGAAATGTGGACAAACTCTCACTTGATATCGATTCACGGTGTCACGTTACTGGGCTGATCCAACTGATATGAAGGTAAATTATGGTAAATTAGCAATAAATGAGGCGGGGGGTGGATGACGAAAGCTAGCGGGGTAGGAGAAAGAAGGAAGGGAAGACGTATCTTCAGTGTCAGCAGGGAAATGTCGGTGGCGTTTCTGCTTCAAACCCTTTGGTGTCACGGCGAGATTTCTCGCTGTGCGTTTTCCATGGCGAGGCACGGCTAGGTAAGAGCGCAAAGCCGCGTTGATTCTGGCATTGGCCCAAGTACTTGAATGCATTTTGTCTACTAAGCAAATGGAGCACAAAATGATAGAAAAAAAAATGAAAAGACGACAATGATTTGAAGATTATTTTTTCCGTCGGGCAAGTCAAGCCACCCGACCTCCACCATGAAACAATTTCCAAAGGACTCCTTAGACTTGCGTCTGAAAACGAATTTGAACTTTCAGGTTTGCCGTTGCAAATCAAAAGAATCGAAATCGTAGACTGAGTAAAGCATAGGAAAGTAGTGAACTCTCCATCGAAGGTTTAGCCAGTAAAACTATGTATACCAAACTTGTGCGTTGGCTAGGAAAGACGTCTAATCATGGGGCATCCACTTGCCAGAAACCGAGACAGAGTCAACGACTGGAAGTTGGACGGCGAAGGTGCATCTGTTGCACGTGGAGGCTGCCAATCTGCGTATTTGAATTATGGTTTGGAGCTTTCGAAGGGGGTTAAGGATGGTCAAAAAGGCTTAAAGGAACGGGATATCACATGTACGTACAGAGACATAGTATACATACACAGACACATACATAGACATATACATACATATAGACATATACAGACACACACATACATATAGATATATATGCATGTATGTGATTTTTAAATGTGCTAAAATCAGGGTCCCTGAAAAATGGATGATAAATACCGCCAAATCAAGATCAAAGGCGTCCTTTGGTTATCTTTGTTATCAGCTTCTGCATTCAACGGAAGACGATGACCAGGAAATCAACCAGAAATAGTTTCCAGGCAGTAGCTGAGGTTTGCCTGGAAACTTTTGCGACGCTGGATGTGAAGCAACAGAAAAGGAGAAGGTAGACACACACAACTGTCCCAAGACAACGGCGTCATCGACCAGGGATAAGAAGGCAAGTATATAGACACGTTTGCCAAAACAAACCAGGGGGATGGAACCCAATGCCGATGATGACGATGATGATGATGAGGATGATGATGATGATGATGATAACAAAGTTGATGACGATGACAATGACCCTCACGCTGACAACGACGATGACGGCTGAAAATGACAATGACGGTGACGATGACAATGACGATGACGATGACAATGGCGAAGACAATGACACTGACAATGACGATGATGATGATGAAGGTGATGATGATGATTATGATGATGATGATGATGATGACGATGATGATGGTGATGATGATGATGGTGATGATGATGATGCTCATGGTAATGATGATGATGATAATGATGGTGATGATGATGTTGATGATGATGATGATGATGAAACGGATGCGGCAGATGATCGGGATGATGATGAGGAGGAGGATGATGATGAGGAGGATGATAAGGATGAGGAGATGGTGCTCATGATGATGCTCATGATGATGATGATGATGATGATGATGACGATGACGATGATGATGATGCTGATGATGGTGATGGTGATGGTGATGGTGGTGGGGGTGAGGGGGGGAGGGGGTGAAGAGGGGCCCTAGCGTCTACTTCAAGATCAGCTAAGGCGTCTTCCCCAATGACAGCACCTTTTACACTCAGCGTGTTGCCGGTCAGTGCTCTGTCTACAGGGTTACTCTATATACCTCTTGAGCCTTGAAGGACGCATATAAATGTGCTCAATACTCATGCATGTACCTCTGTAGGTATTAGGTCGAAACAAAAACACAGGCACAAATTCAAAAGCAATGAGTAGAGCACTACGCCTTGTCGTACCCAATTGGTATTAAGAGTATCTTCCTGTCTTCTCTACACAATGGCAAATAGCAAAAATAAACCGGAGTTACGCAGTGGCTTCGAATTGAAAAACACGTGAAAGCAGCGAACGTCCTAAAGACATGTCGAAAAAGAACAGCGGATTCGCTAATTTTTCCAGTAGTGACCAATTGTGCGCCATGCACGGTCTCTCCACAGGCAAAATGCCTCGCTCTACCGGTGAAAGTTCGAATGGAAATGTTGGATTCGCAAGATTCAGAAATTCCGGTCATACGAAAAAACAATTGACCAAATCACGAAATAAACGGAAATAGCGGATCTCCAAAGTTGCTCATTCAAGCGAACAATGGACATAAATCGAAGTTGGTAAGTTTTGGAGTTCGCTCCATTCGGAGTGGTCTGCTCGCAGAAGGTTTCATGGAGATAGATGTTTATACTATCTCTATTTACAAGAGTTTATTTCTTGGACCAAAAGGTGCTGCGGTTTCTTATTCCATAATTTATAAAACCACGAAAGAAACTCACAGCAGCGCTCTTAGTAATCAATTCTTTTTGACCACGTAGGAACCAACTGGCTGATGGTCAAGTTTTGGATATCCTCACCAAAGTCTGCCATACACCAGGATTGTGCATGGATAGCCAAGCATCGACGCGACGCCAGGATTGGTATCGGCAGGCTTACAAGGGCATTGTTTAATTATGTGACCCTGTGCTGTTGGTTATGGGGCCTATTAATGGGAAGGACTAAAAGCGGTGGATTTAAGCAGCAGAGACTCCCCGTGTGGGTTGCAGGCTTCTGGGTGGCGTGGGTGGGACGAGAAGCCCGTAAAAACAACTGGCAACCCACCTACCGACCACTTGAGGTGTAAAAAACATCATGAGGCAAGATCAAGATCTGTCAAGTGCTTACCATGGAAGATGTGTCATGTCAGGCTTGTGGTGAACATCACTGAAGAGTTTGAAAGACACAGTTGGTTTGTTTGAAACGATGAACCCTCAAACATAAAACCACAAGGATGAACCCGAATGCAACGCGTATCGCACAAGCGCAGGCATGACCCAAGAAAAGGTCGCGCAAGGAGACCAAGCTGTCGAAGGAAGAAACCGCAGCAAGGAATTTTTGCCAGGAAAGAAAATTTCCCTTTTGAAATTTTTGGTTCCAAGAAATAACAAACTATCACAAGTGACAGTCCATTTATTTCTTGGACCAAAAGGTGCTGCAGTTTCTTATTCCATAATTTATAAAACCACGAAAGAAACTCACAGCAGCGCTCTTAGTAATCAATTCTTTTTGACCACGTAGGAACTAATTGGCTGATGGTCAAGTTTTGGATATCCTCACCAAAGTCTGCCATACACCAGGATTGTGCATGGATAGCCAAGCATCGACGCCACGCCAGGATTGGCATTGGCAGGCTTACAAGGGCATTGTTTAATTATGTGACCCTGTGCTGTTGGTCACTTAGGACTAAACAAAGGCTTATGGGGCCTATTTATGGGAAGGACTAAAAGCGGGGGATTCAAGCAGCAGAGACCCCCCCATCTTAACCGATTAGAAAACTGGCAAGTGCTGACATACAATCCTCTATGATGTCATCGACATCCACAAGCGGTACACCGGCACTCAAGAGGTTTGTCATTTCTCCTCGAGATGGATCGTCTGCTGGATTGGATGGTGATGGGACACGAGCAAACCAGCAGAAGCACGCTGATAAATCCTCCACTCTGAGAAGTTGCTCAACCAAACCCGCAATAAGTTTTGACCTGCTGCATGCGGAAATGGCAACGTCCCTGGCAGAGTTGTTGTCAATGTAGAATACAACCGGTGCACTATTGATAATGTTTTTCCACAGAACAAAGGCTACAATTAACGCGAGAAGTTCCGCTTCAAAGATTATTGTTTTCTTGACAGCTGCACCCAACAAGTCAATCTGGCTTTGAGTCAGACAAAACGAGAAGGCTTGGATGGCTGAACCACCGGAGTCATAAATGAGTCCACCCAGGCCGCGGCCACACTTCCAATCACTGCGACCGGGCTCAAAACATGCATCGGTAAAGATGTAAAAACAGCTTGCAGAAACGCCACAAACTTTCCGGGGTGGACCTTCAAGCAACTGAGATTGAAAGAGCTGTAACAACTGACGAAGTCGCAAATTAATCTTTGAACCTGTGGAGGAAAAAGCATGGTCAGTGATCTCTTTCAAACAAAGTTTCCCTAACCTGCCAAACAACTGTCCTTCGGCGAATTGAAGGCGACCTCTCAATTTCAAAGCGTCAGCATGTGACAAGGTGCCGGTTTCCACAATCGACAAAACGAGCTCCTTCAAGAAAGCACCAAAGGATGACCCAAATGGTAATGCTTTGTCGCCATCCTGCGCAAAATGCCAACCCAAAAGGTTAAATAGGAGCTCCACCGTGGCACTGGTACGTTCAGCGTCCTCCTCAAAACTGAGAGTGACAAAATCGTCATAAAAATTTGACCAAATCACAGCCAAACATTTGCAAGCAATCCACCATATCAACCGGACAATGCGGAGGAAAGAGTAGACCGATCTGGAACCACCGAACGGCACTGCTAGCATCTGAAACACGGCTGGCTCCCTAGCTTCAGGATCAAAACATGCAATGTAGGAGCAACTCAAGAGTTTGGATGGATACCCAATTGCCTATAAGCTGATTTTAAATCGA